CAACCTGAATTCCAACTAAAGGTGCCAACGATATTAACGTACCTCATCCAAGGGCGAGTAAGAACATTGTAAAATCTTAAGGAAAACTACAATTCACATATATGACGCAGTTATACTTCTCATGATATTATACACTAAGTATAGTATTTTTCGGGTTGTCCTCCTTTAGACTCGCTGGTTGAGGGGATTGAGAAATTACAATGGTGAATATGTGTCACCATGGAGTTTTGAGATAGGAACATTTGTTATTGATAAATTTATTGACAATTTTTTTGTGATGATCTTCCTTTCCATTTCTCGAGAATGATGGTGCTTGATTTGCAAAGCATAAAAATAACATTTTTTTTATTAAACAAGTTAATTTGAAATAAATGAATCAAAGTTGAAAATAAGTAAATTACTAATATATTATAACCTTCACGACCTCACAAGATAAGGAACAAGTATTACGACAAAATAATTAGAAACAACAAGACACAAATTAGAATCTGAAACAAACGTCTGTTCTAACATTCTAGTCAAGATTACAAGTTAAAAAAAATACAAAACCTATTACATTTCACACTATCATTAATTATTAATAAAAACAAATCCCCTACGTGGGATTTATCGACAAATTTCGATACATTTGATGTAATGACAGGGATGTTCCCACAATATTTTCCAATATAAATAATATGATTAATTAGAACTTAATTGATTGCAAAGCAAAATTAACAGATAATTTGCTAATTGGCTTAATCAATGATTCTTCTTTTGTTTTTTTTGCCTTTTTTCCCCTTCGCCTTTGAACTCGTCATTCTATGGATAAAACCAACAAGAAAAGTCATGCTATGGAATATATTAGAGTTCTTTTATATTACTTAATTTCCATGACATATTATATGATTTTAAGCATGAAAATGACGTGCAACTAATTTCAACAAAGAATTGAGTACTTTAATTCTTTTGATTTAGACATTTCCATAATGAAAATTATTAACATTTTTAGATTTTTTTTTTATTTTTTTAACGGCCCACCCTTTTGTGAGAAACTACTTTTTCCTTTAAATAATAATAATTTTTTATGTTCTTTTCTTTATATTTATCTACCAACCAAAGAAGTGAAATTATTTACATATCTAGCTTTTTCATTTTTTTCCCTTTTATTAGAATTATTGATTCAAGTCCTCTTTTGCACCCATTTTATAAAAAAACGTTTATCAACAAATTCATTTTCAATCACGCATTTTATTGGATCTGCAAACTTTATCGACTTTACTGTCGTACATTTTCATCAACTTTTCTTAAAAATCTATTATAAATCAAATTTTTAATAGAACCAAACAAGAGCTACAAAGTAGCATAAATATTGTTCCCTTAGTTGTCCCTTCAGAAAAAAAAATTACACATCGCCAAATGAAAAAAGAATGAGGAGTTAATTGCTGTTAAATAAACTGAAAATTGGGCATTAAATGCTATTAAAAACATAGCAGTGCTTTATCTCTCGAAGAAAGTATAAGAATCAAAAACATTGAAAAGAAAAAAGAAATGCCGGGAATATAAGGTGGTACAATGAGAAAAGTTCTAAAAGCGAATTGATCTGGCGTGAAATGAGACTACATTAACTGTTGCACCTCATGTCCTAGGTTTTTACTGAAGGCCACATCAATGCCACGTGGAGGTACCAAATACAAACAACTGTTAGTCAGTGAGATCAAAAATAAAGGAACAAGCTGATCTTTGGCCAACATACTATCCTCGTCTGAAGCCCCTTGAACAGAAGCACTCCCTCTTCTAACCAAGCCGCATCACATCCGAAGATCTCTCTCAAAGCTAGGGGCAGAGCCAGGAAGAAATGTTAGGGTGGGCTGAATTGATTTTTTTCATAAATGCTCTTTGCTACTCGAGATTTAGTTTAAAATGTTACATTCTTCACGTTAATGACAAAATGGGTCGAGATATATTTTTATACATTTATGAAAAAATTCTAACAAATATGTTTTTAAATGATAAAAGTAAATATAAAGCATATTTCCATTTCCTGGTCGAAATAAAAAAAATTTTAAACTCACAAGTATAAATAAGCAATATATGAAAAAATACGTTAGAAAAAATTAATTACTTTTAAGCTTAGTCAAACATGTGACATGCTACAATAAGTTATTTATCTTTACTTCAATCAATAAAAAATATTTCTAATACAATAAAATAATTTGATTATAAATGAACTATTTAAATTTAAATAATTGAACATTGGGTTTGGGTCGGGAATGAAGTTAACTGTGCTAAAATTAATTTTTGGACTGAGCGAAATTTTTATTCTTCTTTATGTCACCAATAATTTGGGCTGAATTACAAGTTAATCAGCCTTTGGGTTGTGGGCTGGACTGCAGCCCACCCCAGCCCCCCTCTCCCTCCGTCTCTGCTCAAAGCCGAAGCACTTGTTGTCTTTAAAATGGATCTGCACAGTATCTATAGGATTGATTGATATAACGTTTGTATTAATTAATGACGGCCGACCCATTGTCAATGTATTTAATGTTAGATAGGGCGATGTGAGGTTTTGGTCAACGAGATGAGGCCTTGTGATTCTAACCACGTTGCCATTGCAAAAAAGGGGGGTCAACATTAACTATGATATTTGATTATCATTTAAGATCCCATTTCACAGCAGTTAACTTTGAGAGCCAATTTTCAGTTCATTCATCTTTTATTTCTTTTTCTTATGATTCTTGGAATTTGGGAACAAATAGTTGTTAAGAAGTACACTTGATTTTGGATTAAGTAATATAGGTTTAAGGATTTTGGTCATATACATAATTCAATTAAAAAGCCCAACAAAGTCTAGTATTTCTAGAAACATTTTCTCAAAAAACCTATATAAATATTTGAGTAAAAGATATGGTGATAAATGTGAAATGTGTCAAATAAAGTATATGGTTTTAAAAACTCTATTTAAAATGTTTTCGGAAAATATCTAGTTCAAATATGTGGTCTAGAAGTTTCATGTAAATATGTACTCTAAAAGTCTATAAGAAAATGTGTGGTTTAGAAATTTCATGTAAACTCTATATAAAGTGATAGGGTCCCTCCATTTTGTAACAAACCAAGTGTATAAGTTTTGAAGTTGAGAAATACAAATATCCTTTTTGTTCACTTAATTCTTCATATTAGTGTAGTCCTTTCTAAAAGCATAGCTAATCCAAGTTAGTAAACCTCTCTTACTTCCAACAACTATTCCACAAAATGGAATCAGAGCCCGGTATAGGTACCATCTGTTTGATCATCACAAGACTAAGAAAAGTGTGAACAGGCTCTGATAATACAAGGCACCTAAAGTACAGGTCATCGCAAGGTGGATTACTCACGGTTAAGGAAAGGACCATATTAGTAGGGGGTGTGTGTTGCAGAACTTTATTTTGGGGTGTGAGGACTAGGGTTTGTACCTGAAACATGCATATAACTCCAAGAAGATGAAGATCCTAGATTTCAAAATGTAAATAAACGAATTTGCTAAAAGATGACTACTTGAAATTGAAATAAATTGGGAAACAAAATTGATGAAAATTTGGAAAATGTCAATCCCATATAGAAAAATCAAAAAAATAGAAACAACTTTAGTTTGGGACTTGAGTTATGGCCCGAAAAATATCAATAGTTTTAGAAAGGCAAGAGGATTTACATGCTAATAAGTTGAGTCAAAGTCCACACATGAACATTGTCGTCATCCATTCGACCAGCTCGCCAAGGGTCATAGGTTTGGGCCAAGTTAGTATTTATACTTTTGGTAAGATAAGATTTGAATTATATTATTTTATTATTAAGTTAAAATAATATATTTATTTATATTATTTATTTTTTTCCGGACATTTTTGTGCTCGACACGTGATATTTTTTAGAATCTGGCAGTAACTGTTAAACTATCGATCCTAATAGGTTTTGTCTGTTCAAGACAGTATTTTTCGACTGATATATTTTTTGAACACAACTTTTCAACTTCTATATGGCCCCTATATGCCAGATTTTATTATTCCAAAAATCAATTCTGGTTTTTCTCTCTTGCAAACTATATTCATTCCTTCTTGCATTATTCCATATTGTGCATTTCAGTCCCAAATATTATTTTCATGCATTTTAGTCCTCCAATTTTAGAGAGATCAAAACATTAGTAGGTTCGTCAAATCTTGTAATTTGGAGTGCTACTATTACAAGTCGATATCGTTAAAGTTTGGAAGAGAAGTGCTAGAAGACCTTCAACACCAGTACAGACATTATGGTCTTAAGGAAAAAAAGTCAAGCTCTTGCCTCGATCATTAATCATTCCATTTTATTGCGTTCACTCTGTAAGTCAAAACTCTGCCCAATTGTTTATTCATTATAAAAGATTACTTTAAATATAAATTATTACACGATATAATCGATAATTTTACAACAATCTCAAGACAATAATTCCTTATTTACGTACTGATTTATATTCTAAAATTTTATATATTATGACAAGTAATACTACAAAAGCAATAATTTCTTAATTACGTACTAATTTTTATTCTGAAATTTTATTATATTATGACTAGTAATACTATATCTAACATACCCCCTAACAATGTTCACAGGGAGAAACTGATCAAAAAAATGTTCACATAGAGAAACCAAAAAAATTCACGGGAGTGGATTTTAAGAGATAGTAATAAAAATGCTATTTTATCTCACAAATTTGAATTTGGGAAAAAAATTTAGTGAAGATGCTCCAACTCTGAGGAGGAAGAAATAGATCCTAAAAAACTAGCAGCATTCGATACACGAAATCATAATGACAACACACTATACAACATATACAGTTTGGTCAAGACAGATAAACTACTGTGGGAATCGTTGGAAAAGAACTACAATGCGGAAAATGCCGGGTTGAAGAAATTTGTTGTAGGCAAAAACCTGGACTTCAAAATGATAAATTCTAAAATAGTGATGAATCAGTACAAGAGCTATAAGTTATCTTGCATGAGATACATGCAGAAGGTATGATACTTAGTGAGCCATTTAAGTTCATTGCGATTATTGAGAAATTATCAAAAAAGTGGAAAGATTTTAAGAACTACCTGAAACACAAATGTAGAGAAATGAAACTTGAAGATTTGATTGTAAGATTAAGAATTAAAGAAGTTAATCAAAATTCTAAGAAGAAATTTGGAAAGCTGCAACTGAAGGCTAAAATTAATTTGATGGAGCCAAATACTAGCAAGAGAATGAAGCACTCTAATAATAGCATGCAAAAGAGCAATGTCAAGAAATTCAAACGAGATTGCTATAACTACGGTAAGCCTAGTCACACTGCAGAAGACTGCCGACAGAAAATGCAAAACAAAAAGGACCAACCACACCTGACAAAGGAAGACAAATTGTCTAACGATGTGTCCGAACTAATGATCTCAGTCATTGTATATGAAAACATGGTGGACAATTCGAGGGAATGGTTCGTAGATACTGGTGCGACTAATCACATTGTGTTGATAATGAGATGTTTTCATCTTACACTCTTATCAATGGAAGACGACTGTACATGGGTAACTCGATAATATCAAAAGTTGTTGGTCTAGGTAAAGTAGTGTTGAAGATGAAATCAAGCAAAGAAGTAGGCATCATCGATGTGACACATGTTCTTGATATTCGCAAAAAATTGGTATATAGAGCTTTGTTAAGTAAAAATAATTTAGGCTAGTATTTGAGTCTGATAAATTTGTACTGACAAAAAATGACATGTTTATGGGAAAATGGTACTTAGCCAATGTGCTATTCAAAATGAATGTAATACCCTACTTCATGATTTTGATATTAATAAAAATAAATCTTCTACTTACTTGATTGGGTCTTCTAATTTATCGCATGATAGATTAGGACATGTTAATGTTAATACTTTGCATAAATTAGTAAGATTAGATTTATTGTCTTCTATTTCATTTGATCAAAACCATCGATGGGAAACTTGTTAGAGACTAAATTAGCCAAAAAATAAAAAATAAAAATAAAAATCGTTCATTCAATTGAAAGGAACTTGAGTCCTCTAGAACTAATTTACAGTGATATTTTTGATTTAAAATTTGTCCAAACCAGAGGAGATAAAAAAGTATTTTATTACTTTTATAGGTGATTGCACAAGGTACAGTTATATCTGTTTGCTAAGAAACAAAGACGATGCCTTACAAGCATTAAGCAATACAAGAATGAGGTTGAGAATCAACTTAGTAAACAAATAAAAGTTGTTCGTGGTAATAGAGGTGGAGAATATGGAGCACTGTTTGAAGATTTTTGTTTAGACTCTGAGATTATTCATCAAATTACAGCACCTTATTTACCTTAGCCAAACGATACTGTTGAAGTAAAAATCATACTCTTAAAGAGATAATGAACGCTATGTTGATTAGTTCTAGTTTATCTCAGAATTTGGGGGGCATGAGGTAATTCTCTCAACTAACCACATTCTAAATAAATTACCACACAAAAGTATGAATGAAACTCTTATGAGTTATGAAAAAATCATGAACTTTTGTATAAATACTTAAAAGTATGACGGTATTTGGCTAAGATAAAAGTACCAAAACCTAAACAAGTTAAAATATGGCCTTAAACTATCAATTGCATATTCATTGGATATGCTAATAATAGTATTTCTTATCGGTTCCTCATACATAAGTCTGAAATTTCGAATGTACATGAAAAGACGTGTATTATTTAAGGATATTTTTCCTTCTAAGGATGAAAAAGAAATAAGTTTGCAAAAATGAACTTATAATACAGCAATTGGAAATCATCAAAAAGAAAAAAGTTTGCAGAGATGAACTTATAATACAACAATTGGTAATCATCAAAGTAACCAAGAACCAAGACACAGTAAAAGAATCAAAATAGCTACATCTTTTAATCCAGAATTTATAACTTATTTGTTAGAAAACGAACCTAGAACATTAAATGAAGTAATGTCAAGTCCAAAAACTCCATTCTGAAAAGAGGCTATCAATAGTGAAATTGATTCTATATATTATGCAAAATCAAATCTAGGAATTGGTAGATCTCCCACCTGGTAACAAATTGTTAGGATGCAAATGGATTTTTAAAATAAAGTTAACGACTGATAGATCAATTGATAAGGCTAGATTAGTAGTTAAAGGATTCAAACAGAAAGAAGGTTTTGATTTTTTCGATACATTCTCACATGTCAAAGATAACATCTATTAAAGTATTAACTAAAATCGACACATTGTATAGTTTGCAAATTCATTAGATGGATGTTAAAATAACTTTCTTAAATGAAGAGTTAGAAAAAGAAATTTACAGGGAATAACCCGAAGGGTTTATTGCTCCTGGATAAGAGAAAAATGTGTTAAACTCATTAAGTTATTATACGGACTGAAGCAAGCACCAAAACAATAGGATGCAAAATCTAACAAAATTATTTTGTCAAATGGTTTAAAGGTTAACAAGTGTGTTAAATATATTTATATTAAAAACACACCAGTGCATATGTAATTTTATGTATATATGTTGATGATATGCTAATTATGGGTTATAATTGTGATATCATAACAACTACCAAGAAATTGTGGACAAAATATTTTGGCATAAAAGATATGGGTATTGCAGATATAATACTAGGAATTAAAATTCTTAAGATATCCGAAGGACTTATTTTATCACAATCTCACTATACTGAGACTGTACTTAAGAAGTTTCATATATATGATGAAACTCCAATTAAAACTCCAGTAAACTTAAGTTTACATTTGGCCAAATATAAAGGCAAACCAGTATCTTAGTTGGAGTACTCTCGAATAATAGGCAGTCTAATGTATATTACAAACTGCACTCATCCAGATATTACGTATGTAATATACAAGTTTAATAGATTTACAAGTAACCCAAATATGACCTTTGGAAGGCATTAGTAATGGTTCTAAGATATCTACTATACTCCTCAAATATTGGATTACATTATACTAGATATCCAACTGTAGTAGAATAATAGAATGATGCTACTTGAATATCAGATATAAAATACTCAAATTCACTAGTGGTCATGTACTCATATTTTTATCATTGGTGGTGCAGACGCATCTTGGAAATCCTCTGGCCAAACGTGTATAGCTTAATCTGCGATGGAATCTAAGTTCATAACTTTAGATAAAGTTGGAGGAAAGCAGAATGGCTTCCCAATTTTTTAGTAGATATTCCATGTTGGCTTGAACCTGTGTCTACAATTAGTATGCATTGTGATAATCAATCGGGCATTGTAGAGCACCATATAGTATTTATAATAGTAAGTCTCGACATATCCATCAAAGACATAATACAATTAAGAAGTTGATCGCAAATGGTATTATTTCTAAGGAAAATTGTAACCACGGCACCAAACCTTTCACTTTTATACAGACTTGACCCAAACCTTTATTTTGTTGCATCCATGGTATCAGAAATTGTAAAAATTCACACCTGAAATCCAAATGGATGAAAATTTTTAGTTTGACAATTAGTTGACTAGATAATTGACCTTGACAATAATTTTGAGTAATTTTAAAAGGTTAAAATGGTTACTTTATGTTTTTAAAATCAAATAACTAAAATTAAAAATCAAATACCAAAAATCAAATTTCTTCTTCTTCTTCTTCTTCTTCCACCCCACCCCTACCCCCAGGACTACCAGAAGGCTCCACCGCACCCAGCTAACGCCAACACCACCTTCGGTGGAAATAGGCACTTGAACTCCCACAAAATGAATCACTCTACCATCCTCCTTATCCAAAATCGAACACATTAAATAGTTTCTAAAATAGCATCCCATCTTTCTTGTAATTCAACAAATCCAGGTTGATTTGTATAGCCCTTTCCTCTCGAATTGTCTCCCGAATCTCCATAACCAACCGTCTATCAATTTTAGGCCTTTGAAACATCCTCCCGTTTTTCCCCAATCACCTCATTTATAGCCCTTTCCTCTCGAATTGTCTCCCGAATCTCCATAACCAACCGTCTATCAATTTTAGGCCTTTGAAACATCCTCCCGTTGTCATCCTTCGAATAATCAACTATTTTCAAGAATCCATTTGAAGCAAACACAATCAAGCTCCCATAAATGCAAGGATCAATTATACTGAAATTATCAAACAATTCATTGTGGTGGAGGTAGTGGTGGTGTGATGGAAGCAGACGAGATGTTAAAGGTGGCGTTGACATTGGGTGGGTGCGATAGAGCCATCTGCTAGTGGTGGTGGGATATTTTGGGTACGATTGAGGTGGATGGAGAAGAAGAAGAAATTTGATTTTTGGTATTTGGTTTTAGTTATTATTTTATTATAAAAAATGTAAAGTTACCATTTCAACCTTTTAAAATTAATCAAAATTATTCTCAACGTCAATTATCTAGTCAACAAATTGTCAAACTAACAGTTTTCATCCACTTGGACTCGGATGCAAGTTTTACAAAGTTTGGTACCGTGGATGCAACAAAATAAATGTTTGGGTCAAGTTTGCATAAATGTGAAAGTTTTGGTACCGTGACAGCAATTTTACCTTATTTTTTCTATAGATTATGTAAATATAGGGAGAAGCTCACGAATCCACTTATTAAAAGGCTTACCAAGAAATCAAGTATACTGTCTATTAAGGGAAATGAGTTTAAAGTCTACTACGTAAGGATCTTTGTTACGATAATCTAACTTTGCAGACTAGAGATCCCAAGATCTTAGTTCAATAGGACAACTAAGTTGTGATGATTCAATGGGCACTAGGGAGTTAATTCCTACCAATTCTTATGATAAGAACAATGATGTTTACAAAGAGTTTTAAATTAAATTATATTTTTAATGATTTCTGTATCTCTGACTATCCAAGTAGGATATGAGATTACCTATATAAGTGTGAATTGAAGCTGCTTCTATGAGAATGTTTCAAAGGCTTGAATTTTCTAAAGCACTTAAAAAATTCAAGAGTTGTTTAGGGTCAAAATGAACACAACAGTGAGAACTCGAAAATGTTAGGAAGATTATTGTGTTGATATTATTGTCTTGGTTTATACCAAGGACTGATGGTCAAAGACATCGCGTTCACGGATTAGCCAAGTAAACCTGGTAGTATTCTACTAGGGAAAATTCAAACCCATAAAGTACCTATCCCGATGCAATAATTTTTTGCCTGATCTCTCTATATGGTCTGCATCGTCTATTGTGTTAATTTTTATTCATGTGGAAGATTGTTGGATAAATTGGTTTAGATAGTTGGTTTGACCAACTTTTGACCACTTATTTTAGCAGGTCCCGTTAGTTGGACAAATAATCTCTTTGGCCGACTACTCTACAAGTAGATTAATGAATGTATTTATTTTCGCAAAACCAATTAAGGAAAAATGAAAAATTAAAGTCAAAAGATGACCACTTGAAGTTGAAATAAATTGGGAATAAAAATTGATGGAATATTGGAAAATGCCTATCCCAAGTAGGAAAATCAGAAGAATAGAACCACTTTATATTGCTAAAGTTTTGAACTTAGGTTTGGGCCTAAGGGGTGCCAATAGTCTTTGAAGTGGAGAAAGGCTACATGCTAGTAGATTGAGTCAAAGTTCACGCACATGCGCTGCCATCTCCTTTTATTCAATCAATTGGCTCGACATGAACACAGGCATGGGTCGTGAGCTTGGGCTTGGGCCAAGTTAATATATATTTTTGGTAAAATAATATTTGAATTATTTTATTTTATTATCAAATTAAAATATTATATTTATTTATATTACTTATTTTTCCCGAACTTTGCTGTGCACGACATGCAAAATCTTCTAGAATCTAGTGGTTGAGTGTTAAACTGTCTATTCTAATAGATTGTGTCTGTTCAAGACACAACTTTTCAACTTCTATATATAGGCCCTCATATGTTGGATTTTATTCATTCCAAAAATCAATTTCGATTTTTCTCTCTTGCAAATTTAATTCCTTCCTTCTGCATTATTTCATATTGTGCATTTCAGTCCCCAGTATTATTTTTGTGCATTTTAGTCCTCCAGTTTTAGAGAGATTAAAACATTAGTAGCTTCGCCAGATCTTGTAATTTGGAGTTTAATTATTACATGTTGATGTCGTATCTTGAAAGAAGAGTGCCAAAAGATCATCAGCACTAGAGTGGCGTATTATTGTCTTAAGGAAAAAGAGTGGAGCTCTTGCCTGGACCATTAATCATTCTGTTATATTCCATCTACTTTGTAAGTCGAAACCTTGCCCAATTGTTTATTCATTACAATAGATTATTTTGAATATAAATTATTGCACGATATAATCGAAATTTTCCAACACTTGATGCCATCGTGAAGATATGACGGAGTAC